ATCCCGCCACAATTTGGCTCTCTGCTCACTTGAGAAGGATTACTGATGCAGCTGTAGAATTGCAGTACCTGGACTTTTGGTAAACTCATCTTTTCGGTTCACTATTGTTACACAGTTTGGTTTAATTCTGTTATGTTTAGTTTAAATTTAGATTTATATTATTACATTGCATTCCACAACTGTTTTGCTTCGTGGAATCTTTTTGGCTTCGATGCACACATTTAAATTGTTAATCGAGGGTTTTTTCTCAGTTTCGATATGAGGGCTGACGAGCTGAATTCCCCATGCATCGGTCAAATAGATTACGCTTTCCTACTCAACTCAACGAACAAGTTAGTTTAGTGGCATTTTTTGTGTTTAGTTGCATATTTCTCTGTGCTCATTCCATGGCAAATTTCTTATTGTGGATGAAATCGCAGGTATCTTAATTCAAGTGCTCTCAGCGACGGGCCTCACTCTCAAAAAAATTTTTGCAACCAGTGCCAGGAATTTGCACTCAAAGCTTTTTCAAGTGATTCCAGGAAGGTAGTTCTCTTTATTGCTAGTTTACATAGTTTTGACCCAGCTATAATGGTCCCCAATTTTCTGTAACAAGCAATATTTGGAAGACGTCGTTAGGAGTGCGAAGAAACAGATACTGAATTACGAGAGGGAGCTAGCCAGGCTGTTGGATGAAAATCGTCGCGTACGCTCCGCTTTCGATCAACTTCAAACTAACTTGTAGGTTGTCATTTATTGTTGTCTGTTACTCTTCTTATTTCCACCAAAAGGATTTGCATTATTGGATTTCGCCTTATGCCGTCTATCCAACTTTACTGTTGTCGTTTGCTCTTGAACCTAGTCAGTAATGGCGCACTTACTACCAGTTCGGCTCATTTCTTGTTTGAGAAACCCACAAAGGCTCGGCAATTTAACGAATAAAGCTAGGTAGATTCATATTCTTTTTTAAGCAGCTCTCACTTTCGGAGACAAAGCTGCTTGAACTGGTCAGCATATTTTGTTCAGGCATGCAGTTCTGTTCTTGCATTTTTGCATAGTAAACTGGGATTTTGTTTTACAGCGTTGAATTTTACGATTACAGCAGCAAATTCAAGCACAAGTCAGTTGGTAACTTTGGAATTTTGGCATGATTGCAGAGGGTATTTACTTGGGATTCACTATCTATGCACAGTCGTTTTGGCAATTCGTTCGATTAGGTGTACTTTTTCCAGTACTTCGGTGTCACCTTTTGCAGCGCTCTGTTGCATGAGGAGTATACTCAACAGCTACGACGGCTGGGTTTTGACGATAAATTGTTTCCAACTTGCTTGGTCTCTCGATGTCACGATATTTCAAGGCCTCTTCACCGGTGGCAGTCACCTGTTGATTGGTCTGCGATAGAAGCGACAGAAGACCTGAACGTCATGTTTGCAGCTGAAACACACCCTCAGGCCTCCCCTCCTTTCTCTCCCTCCTCCCTTTTTCCTTTCTCTCAAAAAGGTCGCAGATTAATGACCCCAACGGTGAGCCCCTTGATTCTTTTACCAGCTTGCCGACGTTATATCCCTGCTATCTGATGTTTCGTTGTTTAATGCCAGCCCAAAGTGTAGTCCATTATCCTTGAATATGGCAAAGTAGCTGGTAAAATGCCTGTATTACTTACTGCCCCGGATTTGCGTTTCATATGCTAATGTATGTCATTTTTAGAATGAAGGTTTAGTTGGACTGTTAGTCATTTCCAGAATCTTTTCATTCGAATACCGTCTGCTGTGTATCTCTATCGATGACATCGGCAATCCATCTCTAGCTAGTAGCATAGATGAGTTTGAGTATTGGACCTTTTTACCATTGTATCCCATTTGAACTGTTATGTGTACCAACATGGGCAACTCATAGTATCTCAGCTGTAAGTCAACAAAATATCTCATTTATTGGCTTCTGATTGTTTATGGAAATCGTCCATGAATGACCAGGTTTTTCTGTTCAAGTTATTGCATAAATTATTGCACGTGAAGAAATTTCTTCAAGTTCCACACTTAAATGTGCGCTTGATTTTTGACTTTCATCTAAACTAACTCTCTCTTGCCATTGTTGCATGTAAGACCAACCGACGAATGGATGTTTTCTTACCAGCCTCAGTTTGCGGATGGAGGCTCATGTGTACCTGGGCCCAAGTGCACGGACATGACTGCCATTGAGGCGACAGAAGATGTTGACGTAGTTGACCTTCTCTACGAGTCCGGTGTCGCGGGTGGTACTTCTTTGGGGATGAGGCCTCTGCTACGGGTCGAATTCCCACGATCACAGAGCTACCAGGTTGGTTTCTTGTCGTCGGCCCCTTCTGGTAGCTCTCATAGCCAATCTGCGCCCTAGTCATCAGACCTTGTTAAGGCATCTTTAATGCTATGCGTTTGTTACTATATGACGGTTGGTTACCGACAGTGATTTACAAACTTTATCCATGTCAAAACGTCCTTGTATTTTATTTTTATGGTTGAAGGCTTTCATTTTTGTGCTTTAAAAACTTGGCCGTCAATAAGTTTGGAAACAAACGAAAGCAGAAGCTTTTTGTTGGGTTTGGGTTCGGGCAGCATTCTTATCACCTTTAGATTTCATTTTGTGTGATTCTGTTGGTTATTCTGTTCCAGAACGCTGCAGCAAATCCAATTGTGGCGCCGTCAATGGCTCATCACATATCTGTGCATTTAAGAAGAGTCGGGTTATATCAATAATTTTGTCTCTCATTCTCAGCATTGTCTTGTTGAATAATAGCAAAATCATGGAAGCAATTTTTGGGACTGAAGGTCTACAGAGTCTATCATTTAATCGCTTGTGTGCTTTTGATGAGGTATTTTTTTCCATCATACAGTTTGCAATAGGTGAGCAAGAAACGTCAAAATGTTGCGAAGTGTACCGCCTTCCAAATGCAAATGATGCCGACTTGCCTTCTGGAGACGTATCGCCTCTCGATTTCTCTCGGCTGTTTGTCACCGTGAGGCCCAGCAATACCAACTATCGCGCTCGCTTGTGAGTTTACTTTCACTCTAGGGGTCGCCTTACCACTTGCTAACTTCACTAAGGATTCTGGTGGTAGTTTTTTGACGAACCTTTTGAAATGAAAAGCACTTCCTTATTTATCAAGTAAATTCAAGAATTTGAGTGGTTTCTTAATGTGTTAACTGTGCAAATTTTTAATCGATCCCTAAGGTGTAATGCTGACTAACCATTCTCTGCATAAATCATTTCATTTTAGCCCGTGGAGCACGTTATTTGGTTTGATTCGATGTATTCAGAATTCACCCTTAAATTAAGTGAATCGTACGCGCTTTTTCCCCGCCACTGCAACCTTAATAATAACGGTGTACTCGATCTTTATTAAACTTCTTGTCTCTCCTCCCCCTTTAAGTATCGTAAAGTCCAGATCTTTACTTCTGAGTAGAAGTCAGTGATGATGGCCTCTTTTGGTTGTTTTATAGCTCAGTACCCAAGACGGTGGTCGGGGGGTCGTTGCGGCAATTGCCACCGCAGTTGGATCTGCTTTCTGAGCTACAGCAAACGGACAGTAGTTTTCCTCTCACAGGTCTCTCCTTGCTGGCATCGGGAGATGGTGGGGGAGGAGGTGACGAGACAGAAGGCGCCTGTTCCACTTCTGACCAGGTCTCCGATATTGTAAATGAGGTGGCGTCGGAGGAGGAGACCGCCTTTGGCTCCTCAGCAAGCGGTGGCGAATGCGCCGGATGCCCCACGACTACGAGCTCCAGTAGAAACACGGTCCTCACCAGCACTTCAACAATTCGGCCCACCAATTCTCTTGGTTCATCCCCGAGCATTCACGAGGCTAGTAAGTGCCTAAAGCACAACTATAGGATCAGCTGTTGAATCTCATCATGCATGACCCCTTTGAGATGTGCATTTAATACGTAGCAACTTCCCAAGACAAATACAGGATCCAGTAAACCACTTTCTAGAAGACCCTTAAAGCTTTAGCAGCATCTCCACGGCACAGTTGCACAATGACAGATCACGAGCGACTGCGCCCTTTTTTCATGGCATCGTTATCTGCACCTCGCTACGCCCCCTCCTCGCATTCGCCCTACTGGGGCAACTGTTTACAAGGGCGTTATTGAGGTACCAACCAATAAATTGAACCAACATCGTGTATCTACGACTCAGTGTTTCTTTGCAAACGTCACTTTCCTTGCAAAAGTAACTGAACAAATGCTGTACGCCCGCGCTCTTGTAGATTCCGCAGTAGAGCTTCCAAGGGAAGCGTTTCGTCGATCTACTTCAGATTTGCCCGCTACAACGACAACTTCGATGATAGTTGAAGGTTCCGCGGATCGTCCCTCGCGCCATGTTGTTTCTCCACCTTGCTTCACTTCCGCCTCCCCGGTTCCGAAGCTTAATAGCTGAACCCCAATCCAGTCTTTCACATTTAATTGCCTGTTTAATCTTCCTTACCTTTCCTCTCATTCATAATTTTGGCACCCATATTTTTTTATCAAATTGCTAAAGTTCACTTGTGTTTTGGATGGGGGTATACTTCGTTCTAGAATAATGCGTACAGCTAGAAATTGATATCCTGTGCGTAGGGACGAGTGATTCGCACAACTTCTCCGTAGGACCTCATATCCACACCATCCATAAATGTGTGGGTTAGAGCGCGCAGACGCCAAATGTTTTCGTTACTTGGGCACAGAGATAAGGTTCCAATGAATTGGATCAATCTACTCAAACCGGCGTCTACCGTGAGACTGCGCTTAAAGTCACCAGGGAGCAAGGAGACGTCAACCAGCATGCAAGGCAGACTGTCCAGTCTCACAGGTGATAGTAGCTCCACGGTATCGTTCTCGACTTCATACGCTGAAATACTATTTTAAGGATATTGGTGATGAAGAATGGCGGTCAATTACAGTCCAAGTATTCTCACGTTGAGTTCCTTGGTTTGGGCAATTTTACTGAAGGAGTCAAAGTTGGCATAGAGTTCATCGAATGATACGTACGGCGCAAATTCCATTGGATATCTGAAATAAACAATAAATGGGGATGGCAACTACGGGTTTTCAGTGGTCTCGCGTCGTAAACGCCCTGCAGTGGGCAAGCCATCACACAGCACCCAATATATGCTAGTGAGCCTTGACGGGTGATTCAGTGGTCAGAGGATCTCGGCACGACTTCAGATATATGGGCTATGGTTGAGAAGTTTGAGAACAATATGGCCTTGACAGCGTTGTTAAAGTCTACCGTTTTCTCTAAGATCTGGGCAAAGCTGTTAAGACCACCTTGCGATGACCCAAAACTTTCCAGGCAGCCCACACACATCTGACCATTACCGTAGAACCCAGTAAGCAAACGTACCTAGAAAGTAACAAACATGACCTAAACAGTATTTATTTGAATAGCAGATCTGTAAAACTCAAGTTATTCGAGGATTCTCCCCTTGATTTGCGAAGCAGCCTTAACCTATGCAAAGGTAAGCAATGTAAACTACTCACAGTTCTTTCCTATCCTTTTGCGAATTCCTTTGACCGATCTAGAAAGACCATAGGGTGATGATGAGGAAAAATTACCACAACCGTAGCCTGACCAGTTGCAGGCTTATCAGCACTTTTCCTCGAAACAAAACTCGAATCATTAAACAGCTATAAAAGTGAACTTATGGTTTCACCTCACCCTACTACTTGAATCAGGATCTGTGGGGCAGTTGCTCAGTGTTGTGGCGTGGATATCATCCTGAGAACTTTCACGTCTACAATTTTTATCAAAGAAAAACAATAACTCACACCAGATTGAGAAATGCAATACATCTATCATTCAGCCGAATCACAGACTCAATTTCTATTTTTTTTGGAAGGCAACTCAGATAGTTCACATCCGCTCCTACACTTGGAACCTGGTTGCGTATAGCATGAATGGAACTGTAAACACCAACGGATCCCAAAAGAGACTTTTCGGACAAAATGCTAGTTATGTAAAGCTATCAAACAAAAAATCCTACAGGATCCGTGCAAGAACAACCATAATGAGAGCTGTCAGTTTGACGAAGTGTCCGGTCAACATTTGCCGCTCACAATGTCTCCAGCAATTGACGGACAAAGCACGGATTACGCGAATTTCCTTGACCCAGAAGCTGAGCGCAAGGAGAAAGAAGTCTATACAGTTGCGGTTAAGGCATTGATTCTTCTCCGTTGCCTCCATGCCGCGAGCCACATATTTCAGGCAAAAATTGCTGCGACCGGTGCTCGCTTTGCGAAGGAGTCGTGTCAAGTGACACAGCTCGGCAAAGTGAATGAAATGACGCTGCTGATTCTTAAATCTTCGAACAATACGATTGGCGATCGAGAGATCACCGTTCTGCATATTCCACTTGCCAAACAATTGTGCGAAAATGTTCATATTGTATTTTAGAAAATCTATTTTGAGAATTTGAAAAATACGAGAACTACTTCCGACTGAAGGGTCGCAGTGGATGAAGTTCATAACTGGAAGTGATTCCAGGGACATTGTCCGGCTATCTATAACAGGGTAAACCCCATAAGAAATAGTAACAAGAAGTAATAAAAGGCAACCGAAGCATCAAACACAAGTGCAGAAACCTCATGAAGACATATTAACACATACAACAATACTTGAATGCAAAATACAGACACCACGTGAAGTGTGAAAACCAAAAGTGGTCGCTAATGCTGGAAAGCACCCGGGATAATTAACACCACCACACCAAAACCAATGAAATCTCGCAAAGGTTAATACGACAAAACAAAAACGCTTGCCTTAGGAACATGAATGCTAGTTACTCCGAGTATAATGTGGAGTGAAAATGGAAAAACAAGGTGACCACTGTTTGAGAATAGAAAATGCGAACACCATCATAACGATACTAAAATGCACATAGAGAGCAAGAAAACAGGTGTCCCATTTCTAAAATCGTGCCAGAGGAAATCAGAAAACTGACTAGATTATCATCTGAGAAACGTAGGATCGGAAGCAAGGCGACATAAAAAGGGCACCAAAGCCACTCCAATCCCAACTTGAAGCAGATCTTAGTGGATCGCATTACAGAACCTTCACGATAAGCAGACCATAGTCCGTTCATCGGCTTAAACAAAACACCTCAGACCTGCTTGATCAAAAAGTAGGCTATCATATGCTAGTCCCACATGTTCCGCTGTGTGCGAATACAATATGGTAATACAATAGTTTGGCGTAAGCCTGTACTTCAGACACGACCACTTCAATCTCTTTTTCGCTCGGGGTACGGTACGGCTCTACTACTGGGTGGGGGGTCTTGGAACGCTACAGTCGGATTTTTATTTAATGCTGACGCTAATGCCTTTTACATGTAAGTGGAATGCGCTTATGAATATTACTTATTTTGCTTGACTTACTATAGACACTTAAATTCAGTGCGATATTTTATTGGTCTGTCAAATAATACCGTTTCAAAAATTAACTTTTCTTGCTTTTGTCATGAATATTTAGCGTCAACGATTTTCTGCTCTCTTTAACTGGTTAACATCTAACGGTGAGGCATTCCTGGACTTCTCCCTTGGTAGGAGAAAGTATGAGTTGTTACTAAACGCTTGCATTCCAATAGGAAGCGCAGGGGCCGAGCTTTGGTATGGACTATAAAACGGTCCTCTCTGCAGAAGCACTGCTCCTTCGTGTAATGTAATTTTGCTGTTAGTTGCATCCCGTGAGTGTTTGGTTTTTCCTCCTCTAGACTTCAAGAATATTGAGTTGACTTTTTTGTTGTAATTAGTAGTCATTTATTATTAAGCGAGATATGGCCGTAATGCTTTGTGTATATGATCACCTGGTTCTCGTGTTGACCTTTTATGGCAAGCCAAGTTCCAACTTCCTCTTCACTCTCTAGACTGAATGCTTCCAGCATTCATTATAAGCTTGTCATGAAAAGAGGGTTTTCGACCCCCAGCCAAGGGAACCCGATTTTTATGTATCTGCATGTATTGAACCAGTGCATCATCCAATCAAATCGTTGTTTGTCGACTTGTTTGTATTGTTCTTTTCTGGAAATAAGTCGATTTATTGGCAAAGTTTAGCAACGCAAACGTAGGATGTCAGTAAGACAGCGGTGTTTGTCTGTCTCTCCCGGATACTATGCCGCTTTTAACAAACAACCAACAAAGAACAAGCCGCAGATAGACCCCACTTCGGCTGCAGCAGGTTTTCAAAAACACTTTATACTTAAAAGTCGTCAAAAAATGTCAGGTTCGCTTTCCTTTGTCACCAGTGTAGCGTCCTGAGGCTTCCTAGAGGGTGGAAGAAGGCATGAGGTTGAATACATGTATTCTGAAGACGACAGGGCAAATGGGGCCTGAGCGTGGCTCGAAGACCAGCCCACGTGTATAGGGACCAGACAAATTCTAAAGTAACCGCCGAACAGTTTGATTCTCTGGCGGACTCCTTGACAAAAGTATTGTTCCCCACAAATTAACTGACCTTTGAACGCCACAAACGCCTTACAGTCTCCGTCTCGATTCACCTAGATTCATTGGGCTATGGCATTAAGCTTCATAGTATTTGATAGTGTACCTCAGTGTTGGTTCCAAAAGGAGTGGTCAATGCTCAAATGGGACTTATAGCACGACACCATAACTCGGTTTGACAATTTTGCAACTATTTTCAGTTCCTTTTACTCGATTTGGCAAGAGCTATCGAGTCTTACGCAGTCCCCATTCAGCACTCGATCACCAGGATCAGGATGCCTCCTCTTTTGTGGCTGGTTTGTCAGTATTATGACCAATACCGAACCGACGTCGTGATCCGTTCAAGTCAGAAACTGCCATTGCCATCTACTGGTGCCAGAGCCATATGTGTAGTAGCGCGGGTAACTCGAGTAAAATTCATTCAAACTCTAAAATATTAGGAGCCCAACTGTCATGCACAGCCTCTGGTCTATAATGCAGATTACCTATGCATCTGATTTCTCATGTAACAATCCTATCTTTCAGACAAGCAGCATTCTCCTACTTGCAATCAGAGCGTCAGCATCAAATGCCAGTTAATGTTGTCGAAATAAGGAGAACCGTTCCGATAGAAAGCTGTAAAACACGTATTAGAACTAAGTCCAATTCATTTGGTGAGAAAGTTATTTATAGAGAATGGTCGACGGACAGCATTTGAGTAGCCGGTGTTAAATTTGAAGAAGATTGTCTTGTTAATAGGGTTGTCAGCGGTAGGCGTTTGATTTTCTGAACAAAAAAGACTTGGTTATTTCAAGAATTAGTCATATGTTAACGATTCTGTATCAGGGGTAGTGAAAGGTGCTGACCTTTTGACTCAAATTTCTCCGATGTGCCTACAATTGGGCGACCAAAAAAGTCCCTTCTAACCTGGAAATGGATAAAAAAGCGGTAAATGGAATTACAGAACAGCAGTTACCTTTTTTTCAACGGTGATGTCCAAAGGGGCTGCCTTTGGTGCCAATCTAGCAGCCATGAAAGAATCGAAAGTTGGCGTGGATTTTCTTTTCCTGACAGCGGTAGCACCTGGCAGCATCGAAACGTTACCTTTGGCATCACTCTCCACTGCCAACTCAGAGGGCAAGTTTGCAGCCTCGGCGCGGCGCATTCTTTCCATAGCCAATTCACGTGCCAACATCTGCTTTGTGGCGTAGGGAAGGGAAGTCATATCAGAAGACCCCATGGAAAAGGAGAACTGAGCCAAGGCATCCAAAGGTCTACAGGAGAGACACTGCGATTGCCACTGACCTAGCCCACATGACAATTCACGCTTGTTTCAGTTTTTCTGCTTACGGTTCAAGATGATACACGGGATCGTTTGTATCAGTGACCTGCTGAGGAACCCAGTCTAGACCAACAGCAATCATGAGACCAACCAGACGGGCCAGATGTTGCTTTTCAGGAGGATTATAAAGTTGAGTATTGACCGGACGCAGCGACAGTGACATATTGGTCACCAGTTTGTTCAGGTAACTCGCAGCATCCAAAATGAATTGACGATGAGTAAGAAATCTGCAAGGCATGTATAAAATGTTCAAAAACCTCACATCCTTTAACAAGTACAGCTCTGACTTAAAGTTTGGCTGGCCAACGCGTCAATTTGCATTTGGATGCAGTATATCACTACACCTCATTCTGCTATCATATACTCCTGCTGAACACCTGTTGGCCCACAGACTATAGCTAAGCGCCCGCAAAAACATTTTCATTTCAATGTAAAAATAATTTTAACTCAGCTACTCTTCTCTTGATACCTAATGGAAGTACGGGAAAAGGAGGGACCGCCAGCACGCCATTGATTCCCGATGAGAGTGTCTAGAACACCAAGGGTTCTGTTCGCAGAGTCAGCGATTTCGCGGAAGGCGGAAGGCCATCGGAGGGCAGCGGTGGTCCTCGACTGCCCCGCCCATCGAGCCTCCAATGGCGGGGGCGTGGCATTGGCAAAAGCGAGGTGGAACCACGCCGGGACCACAGTGGCGTAACGCATCAGCGCATAGTCCTGTGAACTCTGAATATGCTGCATCAGTTGATCCGCGTATGCTAACCATTCTGATGCGCTGCGAGCCTAAATATGGATCATTCTGGTCTTTGATTTGTGAAATAGGTGCTGGGCGAACCGAGAATATACCCTGGAATCAAGCTCAACAAATAAGCCTGCAGTTTAGGTGCCAAAATTTTGATCAATTATATATATATATATATATATATATA